CTCTTCTGTGTCTTATTCAACATCTGTAATGGCCCACTTGCTATAAAGTTCGGCAGTGCATCAGACTGATACAGAGACATTTTTAGGATAAATGATTTCAGTGGTGCTAGCATCAAATGGATGCTTCACACTTTCAAAATCGTGAAGGTACTTGGAGACAGTCAGCACTTCTATGGCTGCTGCTGAATCTGGAGATCTGTTGATTTTGCAAAACCCGAATGTTCTCAGAACCCGTATTTCATCCTGAGAGGTACTTGGCCTCAGACTGAGGAGAGGGAGTTACAGGTGGATGATGCCCAGCTTCCAGAAATAGAGTAAGATTGTGCTGACTCTATACTCTGCCAGCCTGGGCTAGGAGCAGAGGTATCCGGGCTTGGAGAAACAGCTCTCACTACTGATGCTGCGCCTCTGTCCTGGGGTGGGGGGGGCATTAAAATCCTAATTTAACAGATAGCAAAACCAAGGTATAAAGAGATGAACAACCAAACATAAATGAAAGATATTCTTAGCAAGTTACATAAGAGGAGATGTTAAAATAATTGAAAGATGCTTACTCAAGATGTTCATCACAAGAACATCAATGAGAACATCAAATGCCCAAAGACAAAGCACTTTCATTTTGTCAAATTGTAGTGACAATGCAGAACATAAGGTCCCACTACCAACTGCTGTTGGAATATGAGCTCGGTCACTCTCTCAGAAAGCCATTGGTTGTATCCACTGAAATGAAAAAGGTGATGGTTTATAACCCAGCAGTTCCACTTCTCAGCATCAGCCTGGAAAAATGCTCACATATGCCCATAAGGAGGTTAATACAAGAGCTCTTGCTGCAGCATTTGATTGCAATAGAAAAATGTGTGAAATACTCATTGCCTAGCATTAGGAGTACAGTTATTCCTAATAGGGAATACTATACAGCAGTTAAAAAGAAGTAGATTTAAGAACCAGTGATCAATAGTCCAGATTATTACATTTCCCTTCCTCAAAACTCTACGTTTGTTCTGAAATTGAACAACCACTTTTGCTATGAAATATAGTATGTTGTTTCATTCATTTATTTGTTCTTTCATTCATTTACCAATGTTTGCTGAGCATCCACTTGGTTTAAATCATGGAATTGTGGCAAGTCTCTTCAAGGATCAACTCTTACTCATCTATCAGTTCTTAGCTTATACAGCACTTCTTCCAAGAAACCTTTTTTAACTACCTCAAACTGGGTTAGATACCCTTCCTATGTTTTCCTTGTACTCCTCACACTATAGCATCTTTCATGCTGCAGTATAATCACTGGATTCCTTACCTATTTCCCCCTTTCAACTGTGTGCTCATGAGGCCAGATATCAGGACTCTACTCCTAGTTCCATGGTGACAGACACCTGTAACTATTTGCTGAATGAACTGATGGTGAATGGATGGGCAGATGAATAGATAAATGATAGTGAGCTGCTATTCACTGTTCCTGCTTTGCCTTACACCTGACTTACCCTAAGCCAAAAAAAAAGGGTGGGGGCTTAGTTTTGTCAAGTTTTTACTTCTTAGAGAAATCTGAAGATTTCATACAGACCCAAGCAGCACGGTGCCCGGTGCAGAAGAAAGTCAAAGCAAGTCAAGATGACAGTCAAGTTGAGAAACAGAAGCCTCCCTTCTTTGTTCCCAGCCACACGCATGAAGAACTGGCTGTGTAACTTGTGTTGCTGGGCTCCAAGACTGGGTCACAGGAAGACTGTGGGCTAAAGGCCTGTGAGTTGTAAGCATGTCTTCTACTTGCTGAACATTGAACTTCAGCCAGCTTGGATGCGTGTCTGAGCTCTAGAGGTCTGCCTCTGCGTTATTACAGCAGGAGGCATTGTGGTTGAGAAAGGGGAATTTGGAATGAGACCAGCTCTGCCATTGCCAGCGGTGGTAGGCTGGTTGAGTACATTTTCTGAGCTCTAGATTTTTCTCTGAGCTTCACCTGCCTCATAAATATTTGTAAGGCACTTAAACGGTGAGTATTCAGTAAGTAGTCATTATTATTATTCGCATGATTATTGTCCACACACCACACATTTCACTAGGGCATTGGAACCAGTCAGGTCCACTCCAGGTACTGATCTTATAGACAATCTCTGCCGAATCCCTTTTACTTAAAAAAAAAAAAATAAATAAAAATAAAAAAGAGGGTAAATGAGTCACCTGTCACCTAAGAACAACATCTATCCACACAGAATTGCATAATGTGTTTTCCCCCAATTTTACACACAGGGAAATTGAAGCCTAAATAAGTGACGCAATGTGTCTTAATGTCAGATGGCAAATTAGTAGCAGAGTTGGCGCTGGTCCTCTTTTCCTCTGCTAGTGTCACTTCTCATTCAATGAAGGGGTTTCCACTTAAGGGAGATGTTCTGCATTTCTTCCTCATCCTGGCCAAAAGTAATCAGTCTACTGGAAGCATCCATGGGTAAGCCCAGAAGCCCTTCCCTCCATCAATGTCATACCTTGGGAAACTATCTCCAGGATAGATAACAGAAAGAATAAATATTTTTGCTGAGAGAAAAAAATGAAGACAAAGGTCAAAGGGGATCATGTAATGGGTTGAGTCGGGGAAGGAAAATAAAAGGCATTTTTTCCTCTCTCTCCTCTTTTTCTCCAAAACAGTCTTTATATAGAACTTGTCCATGAGCCAATTTATTTGATATGGAAAAAATGTGAAAGCAGCCAAATACACACACATGCAGAGACACACAGAGGTATTTGTGTTGGAGTTCAGAACTTGCATTACTAAGAGATAACGGAGCTGAAATGGTAGGTTGACTTGGAATGATGTTTTACTTTGTTCAGAGTCTCAGAGAACATTCACATCAGGAAGCCCAGCCCAGCCCAGTTCTCCAGTAAATTCCTTGGGACTCAAGAAAGCAAAGAGAAAGGCCAGCGAACACCTCGGGTAGCCCTTGTTCTTGTCACACATTAGGGACGAGAGAAGTATTTGTTGAGTGAATGAAAGAACAAATGGCGCACAAGAACGTGGGCCTGGATAGTGAGAAATTTAAAAATTTCTCAAGTTTTCATGCTGTGCAACCGAGTCTGAACACGAATAATCTAGTGCAAGCTCCTCCTTGTAGAGGAGGCCTCTGAAGACCAGAAGGAGTAAGTGACTAGACTAAGATCACAGAGCGGGTTAGTGACCTCGCTGAAAGTAGATAGAACTCAGGTGCTTTCACTTCTTCAGTCTAACTTGCACCATTCCACACTTAGCACAGGTATCAGCTCTCCCTTGCTCACAATTTGAGGCAAAAAATGAAAGCCGTATTTAAACTGAGGTTTTAAGACATCTATTATTTATTACCCCCATTGTTTTGTAAAGAAATTTTAAATGGATGCATATTTATGGAGCTTTTACTACTCTAGACAAGTGAGGAGATGGCAGAGACGGGGTTATGGAATCTTTTCAAGGCAGGATGATTCTTTACATTTTAAGTCCATTCCCAAACACAAACCAAGTGCTCCCTCTGAGTTCTTAAACAGATGTTCTTCATCTCTGAGTCAATGAATGGGCAAGGGTTTGCTTGTGATGTGCACGTTAATTGCTGGCATGTAAAAGGAAGTGCTGGTAAAGAGTTTGAAAGTGGTTCTGACTCTTAAAAAGATTAAAAGTTTCCTCCAGAACTTGGTTTCTATTAATGATTGGCTTCATAAATATTTTCAAGTAGACAGAGCACAGATTGTCTCTTATATCATCTTACAATCAAAGAAAGAGCCACAAAAGACCCATAGAAACCATGGACTTCAACATTTTCATCACACAGAGGAGGAAATTGAGGCTCAACGAAACTGACTGATTTATCTTTCGTCAGTAAGTGGACTGGCTGGAACCAAACACAAGGCGTCTGACTCCTGAGCTATTGTTCTTTCCAAGACTCAAAGTGTTCCCTACCAACATCCATCGCATGTCATAAACATTCAACAAATGTTTGCTGATTGACTTCATCGAGTCTTGGTACTCAAATTAGGTGGCCAAGGCTCCCTCATTGGTGAGGTTAAAGCAGAAGTTGGAATCACATCATTAACTGAACAATGGCTGAGTGCTCTGGCTTGGGAGTCAAGGTGGAATGCCAATCCTGATCTCACCACTTCCTAACCGTGCGATTCTGGACACATGACTTCACGTCTCTAAGCTGCTGTTTTCTTCTTTGTAAAAGGAGCAGGATAATAGGGCTGTGGATGTAGAGAGGATGAAACAAGTAAAAGATGTAAACACCTTAGACCATTGTTTGGCACACAGGAAAAACACGAATGACTTCATTATAATGTGACCTCTTGTGTAAAATATAAATCCTGAGGATGTTTGAAGAAGGTGTACTAGAGAGGAAGCTTGAGATATATATATATATTCAGGAGAAACACTAAGTTGTATAAAAGCACTGGCTATCCACAAGAATTATAGAGACCTAGATCTGCAAGGGCACGTATGAATTAAATGGGTTTGGACCAGTGCTCCACTTCAAAAAAAGAAAACAAATCAAGGACCATGACTGGTGATGTTTACCTTCCATCAAAATTCTTATACAAATACCCAGGAACATGGTCAATTCCCAGCCAACTTCACCTTCATCTCACACACTGAAGAAGCAACCAGAATGCATGAATATTCTCCAGTGTAACATAGAAAAGAAATCATCATCAAACTTCAATTATTCTACTTTCATTAGTAATAAATGACTTCCTCACTGCTAATCCCATCCAACTGTTGGGGAAAACCAACTTTCCGAAAGACTGGGATGCTTAGAGTCACACTTGGAGCTATCAGCAAAATCCAAGTGTCCTCGTTCCTTATCCTTGCTCTTCCCACCGTATCAGTTCTGCCTTGTTAAGACAATTCTATACTCAATGCCACATTATAAAGCCCTAGAAGTGAGTCTGGCTGTGATGAACCTTTTTGTAATCCAGGCCTCTCCGACTCTCCTTTTTTCCTTCCACACCCCACCCACTTGGTCCTCTCCTTATCCAGAAAGTGCACTTACATGTCTGTGAATCTTCTATTGAGATGCAGGATGGAGGCCACGTCCACCTGGAGAGGAGGGTCCCGGACCACTTTGTACTGCAGGGGCTTACACGCTAGGCAGAGTGGGCTGTCTGCAATGGAGGTCAACATGGCAGCATCAATCTCCAGGTGCTCATCCAACGTGTAGATCTGAATGCCATATACCTCCTCGCCCACATCCCGGAGTTTGATGGTCAGTGGAACATCGCAGAATACATTCTGAGGGCCCAGGGAGATGTTCTTCCCCGTGGTTGTCAACAGTTTGATGTCATTGACAGCCCCACTAGAGTCCCAGTCAGTGGAGACAAAGGTCACCCAGACCGTCAGAGACTCAGGAACCAAAGGATAGTGAAATTCCAGTTCAAGGTAGCAGCCTTGTGGCTCAGGGCAGGCTGGCGGGACCGTGTGTGGGTTGACAGCTGAATTTGGGCTCCAGGTGCGGACACTGGACTTACAGGGTTGTTCAACATCTGGATGGCCTATGGAGAAGAGATGAGGATATGAGTTTTTGACAGACCTTCAGTCTGATCCTTGGAGTTTCCTGCAGACCTCAGAAGAGGTTGGCCTGACTAGAACTCAGATGGAGGGAAAAAGAAAGGGAAGATTGTCAGTGTTTTGGTGAATCAGCTATCTGTCTCGCGTCCAGCTCATCCCCGTGACTGCCACAGAGATCTTATGTGCATCACCAGACACTTGGTCAAGACTATATTCAAATAAGTGTCTTACTATTTAATTAATGCCCAAAATTTCCTTCCTAATCTGCCACATGTAGGCTTTGTGGCTAGGATGGAAAGAAGAAAGGGACACATATTTATCAAACACCTACTATGTCCCATAAACTTGTTTAACTCATTTCAGAGGTGAGCAGATCTAGAGTGAAATGACCCTAGTCTCACAGCTTAAAGTGTAAAGGTCAGCACTGGAAGCAGGTGTTGGCTCTTCTGGAAGTTCATACTTATTGTTTTCACTACTGGATGCAGGGGGCACTAAAATAAACTAGGTTCCTCATGGTGTTGCCTTTGATGCAAGCTGCTTAGCGTGACAGAAGGGTCAGAAACCTTCAGCAAAGAGGAGATGAGTGCAGATAGCTTCTGGCCCTTGGACTGAGGATTCTGGGAGGAAACTGTCTAGAACCATAAACGACAGAGCTGGAAGGCATCCCTGGAGCCATCTTATCTCTCCTCCTCCCCTTCTCTATATGAGGTCATCCCATACCACTGAGCTTCTCCATGCTCTGACCAGTCTGATTCAAAAAGGGGAGGGCTGGGTGAGGAGCTAGGAGAAGGAAGGAGGGATTCTTCTGCTCTTTCCTCTTGGAGACAATGCCTCATCCCCAGTGATCTCAGACTGCATCGACTTCTGAATTTTTCTCCACTGAGATCATTAGTCCTAGACCCTCACAGAGCTCTCCTTTGCTCAGCTGAGAATAGCAATCAGGGCTCAAAATGTAGTGATTGGCTCTAATTTGTTTAAGGGAGTGTAGCAAGAGATATAGATCAGTTAGTGAGGGTAGGATGGAGGACTTTAAGCTGTTCTGTCACATTTTCCTCCCTTTAGCATCAGTGGTTGGTGGAGGGTGGGGATGCTGTTACAGCATAACAGGAATCACCACGATATGAAAAACAGAAAGTCATCTGGGGTGGAGAAGCCATTCCAGTAAAGGCTGTACCTGCCTTCAATCTCCTTGTGTCCTGCCACCAAGTGAGAAGAGAGAAAACACTAGGTGGGAATGGAGAAGAGAAGAGAAAAAGAGCAGAAAGAGGGGAACAAGGAAAATGCATAAAAACCTTTTTAAATATAACACATGAGAGCAAGAAGAGATGGACACAGCTCTAAGATTTCCTACACTCTTCCTTGGCTAGGTTCATTCATCTGTTGCAGCAAATGCTGGCTAGAAGCAATCAGTCATTTACGTCAAAGGCACCACCTACGCTGAAGCCTTTCTTGCCAACTCCCCTTCATCCCACTGAGTTCCTGATTCTCTTGACTTTGTGGGTTGTTGGCACACATATGTCACTTATTCATTCAAAAAGCTTTATTGAGGGTAGCATTTTAATATATATATGAAGCACATTCCATAGACATTAATTAATTCACCTGCTCATCACCAAAATCCTGCAGGATCCTTATCATTTTTGTAGCTCTGTTTCACTCAATACAATACAGCCTTTGCTTAAAACAGGGCCTGGTCCAAAGATAGTGAACATAGTGAATACTTAGTACATATATGTTACAGAAAGAATCTTCTCTCTTGATAAAGTTAAGGAAGAAGTGAATGCCCATGGACTACAGGAGCCTGCTGCGGGAGGGTGAGTGCCAGGTGAACATTCCACTCACTCCATGGGCCTTCTCCTGGAATTGGCAAGGGATGGAGCAGTCTTTCTCCCTTCCGTAGAGAAAACCACCATCAGTGGTGGGGAACCACAGGAGAGCAAAGATGACAAATCTGTTTGGCTCAGGCTTTCTCTCTGGTTTCTTGTTAATCAACAGAGGGGCCAAATGCTTTTCCAAAGGACAGAAAGGTGAGCCTGGTCATTTATTATGCCCAAGTGTGTTAGAAATAGAAATCTTAGCAAGGTTTCTGCTTGTCTAGTTATCAGAGACAAACTTTTAGAAGTCAAAAAGAGCCTCAAGCGTCCCTGAGTCCAACCCATCACCAAAGCAGCAATCCCTTTGATAACACCATGCTTCATGAATTGATCACCTCTATGTGCCAGGAATGGTGCCAAGCACGTTACATGCCTCAGCCCTTTTCATCCTGGCAATAAGTGTATGATGCAGGTCTTATGAAACTCATTTTAAAAAAGAGGAAACTGAGACTCCGATGGTTAAGTAATTCCCTGATGGGGAGTAGAATATTCTGTGATAACTGTCAGTCTGGGCAACATGCCAAGCTTTGAAGCCATGAAAATTGGGTTAAAATATCAGCTATCCAGCTTCACATTGTGTCACCTACTGTAATACTACCTCAGAGGGTTTCTGTGAAACTCAAACGGGATCAAATATTTAATAGATGCGTGCGCGCGCGCACACACACACACACAAATGGGTGTGGTGGTGGGGGCCCTATATATATATATATATATATATATATATATATATATATGCTCTGTTCTCACAAGTAAGGAGGAATTAACAAGGAAAAGCTCAAGATGGGGCAGCATTCCAAACCAAGAGAACAGTGGATAGAGAATGTGCGTCCAGATGACTATGGTTTTGAGAGCAACAGGAGAGCAGCAAGTGGTCAGGCTGGCAAAGTAAGTAGAATCCAGGTGACGAAGGGTCTCACATGTCACTTTAAGGGAATGGACTTCATATTGAGAGAGATGGGAGCTACTGAAGGATTTTAATCAAACAAATGAAAGTTGTCTTTTGGGAAAACCACTTTTTAGAGATAGATACTATTTATCCATTTTTCACCCATCCACCCATCCATCCACCTGTTTATCCATCCATCCACACATCCATCCATCTATCCATGCACCCATCTATCCATCCATTCATCCATCTATCCAGCCACCCATCCATCCATCCATGTATTCAAAGATTAATTGATGAGAGCCTGGTTTGTGTCAGGGTTGGCTAGTCCCAGAGAAAGCAGGTTTCTAAAGACATGGTCTCTGCCCTCATGGAGCTTCCATTCTAGTGGTCAGTTAGCAGACGTCTGTACTAAAGCAGCAATGAATGCATAGCTGTGCCTTGGAGAAAGAGAACATCACAGCAGATGAGGAAAAACCTGAGTCCTAAGGAGAAAAATGCACACAGATGGGAAAGTTGATTGCATGTATGGTGGTGAGGCAGGGAGAAAAGCTGAGACAAGGAAATAAACTTAGGAATGAAGAAAGGACAGGAGGGAGGGAGGAATAGAGGGAGAGAGGGAAAGGGGGAGGGGGAGGGAGAAAAGCACAGAGGTATCGTTACTTCATTATTAATATATAGCCTTTTATGTATATGGTGACTAAATGAAAAGTCACATGTTTATATAAGCTGGCCACTAGGAGTGAGGCCAAATATGTGTGTAAATTATATTTATACATAGTTATGCTGATTTAAATTTATACTTATGAAGATCTATACAGACATCTATTCTATATTTATGTGCATATACACTGCAGCTGTTGACACAAATATGGTTATAAAAACTTGGAGCCAAGTTTTTTCCAGATGAATACTTCAGTGCACCTGAAATATTCTAGGCAGAAAAAGGGGGAAAGACTCATGCAAATAAAAAGAAAAGAAAACAGTGCCATGTGTTAATCTCTCATAGAAAACCCAAGGCTTGTAATGTATTATACGCTTGCATAAGTGATCTTAATGGGATTTCAGGCCGTCAGATCTGGCTAGTTAACTCCTGGGCTACAAATATAGTGTGGTCTTGAATACCTCAGAAGAAATTTATCTATAAAATATAGTTTTTGCTAAAGAGATAGGAAAATGGGGTTTCTTTTGACTACAACCACTTTCTGTGGGCAAAGGCAAGAATTCCTGTGACTGTATTTACCTGAAGTTCAAAGAATGGAGTTGATAACACGTTAGATATTCAATAAATATGTTTAAATGAGGAACCTTCTGTCTTGCTCATATGGATTTAAAATAAATGAATTAAAACTGCTTGGAATGTTGGTGCTGGAAAGCGCATTCATTCTGTGGATAGGACGCTATCTTCAAAGAAGCTCCGTGGCTCACTCACGGGCACAGAGCATGTTGATGGACAGGTTGGAGCCAAGGTCAGTCCTCTACCCCGCTCCACCCTGACCCCCTGCTCTTTCCCCAATCCCAAAGATACGGCTGGCATCGCTCATGGGTTTCAGAGTTTTCTGTTAGTTTGGGAAGTCCACAAACTTAAACACGCAAAGATAAATAGGATGAAAATGAGTTGAGAAATAAATTACAGAGTTTGGCTCATGGAAAAGTTTATTTCTTCAAGGATATTAAAAAGAGTCTGAGCCAAAGGATCACAGAGCCTGTGATGGGATGCTCTAAAAAAAGCACAGTGTCTTTCCCTGGCCTACCTGCACTGGATTTACGTATCCTGAAGGAAACCCCAGGGTTGCTGGGGTTCCTTGCAGGCCGGAGTCAGCTCAGGGAACCAGGGGGCTCGGCGTTTCCAGTGAACCCATTTCTGCATGTCAGGCTTTAAGAGGGTCAGAGACAAACCAGGAACAGCCGGAACCAATCGACAGTTGGGCTATATGGAGGTGTGTGGGGATGTCTGGAAATTATTTCATTCACACAAATGGTAGAACAAATCAAGATGATTTTAGCCAAAGAAGTGGCAGGAAAGAGTCTTGCTGACCCTACCTCCCAAACATCTCTCACTGACCTCTCTCCATTCTCCCTGCCACCGACCTCATCCGGCCACCACCGCACTTCTCCTGGATTCCTGCACCACCCATGGGCCGTTCCCTTTCCTCCAGCATGCTCCCCAGGACCCCACTCTCTGCTCCAGAGGAACCCAGCAATCTTTATAACATGTGCATCTCACTGGATCCCAGACCCTTGCCAAGGCACGTGGTGTCTCCTTCCTGCCCTTGGCAAAAACTGGAACCACTCTTCGTCCGGTCGGTATATACCTCACCCAGCCCCACCTCTCCCTACTCCACACCTTGCTCTTTGCCTTTTAAATCCATTTAAGCTCTTCTAGCCTCACTGCAGAGCTCTCATTCAGGTGGGTCATGTCCGTTAGCAGTTACCGTACCATCAATTAAAGATGAGAAACTTTAAAGAACACACAAGCACGTGTTCCACGGGCTATCAGAGCAGTAATAACATCACATTCCACCGAGCTGCCGGGAAGCGCTACGACACTCTCAGGCGAGAGTGAGAGTGAAAAAGGTAAACCATGTCATGTATTATTATGAAAATCATTGTAGACTTTGAGGAACCCTAATGACCTAAGCCTTCAGATCCCAGGTGGAAACCATGGATTCAAGGATACCAAATATCTTTCACGTTCTCCAATGCATCTTGCTTGCTGGTACGGTGACATTTCCCAGGAAGCCTGAGTCTCCGGTTCTGGGGGAGCTCCCCTTTTTCCTGCCCCCCCCAGTGCTCCCTACTTCTATTAGCACAGGTCTCATCACCCCGGATGGTGATTGTCCATCTACTTCTCTGACACTCCGCTATAACGGTTGGCTCAGCCTTGCCCACGTGCCCGCCCAGAGCCTGCCATACAGGCCCTGCCATGGTTATAGATGAGACTGGTTTACTCTCTGTGGGCACAGAAAGTGCTGTCTGGCCAGAGACATACACTTTCTCCTGTGAGAACCCAACATGGCTTAGGTTTGGGGGGAAATGTCCCGACTGCCCATTTCAGGAAGGACTTTCTAACCAATGGAGCTAGAACAGGAAGGCCAAGAAATACTGGTGCAAGGACAGCCTGGTGTGAGGACAGCCTCGGTGAGGGAGGGCGCTGGGGCTTCCTGCACCGGGTGAGAACCCCGCTGGGTGACCCCCGAGCATCCCTTCCACGCCTGAGGGCCTGTGACTCCGCAAGGGTGAGCTGAGGGTTTCTCCAGAATCCCTCTCGCTTCACATTCCAGATGGGCTTGTTTAGAGTTCCCAAGTTCGACTCTCGTTTTTATTTTAAGCTACTTCAGAAGATTAAGTGTAGTGTTGTCATTTTTCTCCTTCACTTGCCTCTCTGATCCCTCTGCCTTTTTCTTTTCAACCTTCTTTCTAAAAATATAGAGGAAGACAGAGGTGTTCTCACTGAACCTCAATGAGGAACCAGATTCCGCTCCCTCTGAGGGATGGGTGTCCCCACCCAGGGACTGCTGGCCTGAGCTGACCTGCATGGAGCAATGGGACTGGGTGTGGGGGTGTTCTCAGTGTAAGTCTGTGAGGGAGGCCGAGGCACTGCCTGAGAAGAGAATAGTGGGTCCCTGTCTCTCAGCCTGCCTTAAGCAACTAGAGCTGTGCCCTAGGCCACAGATACAGCAGAAGGAAATGGAATAGACAATAGTCCCAGAGTCTCAGTTCCAAGCAGCCTTGCTTCAGAGACACAGTGTAACAAAACATTGAGCAAAAGGCACTCTTAATTTTTATGGAAAACCAAGCTAATCTGGCAGAGAAGGATACTGTATGGGAACATAGAGATCACTAGCCACTGGGAGGCTTGGGAGACTCCCCCTAAGCAGGGAAGGGTCTGGTCATGGGTGGAGCCCATAACAGGGCAACCATGAGATGCTGCCCTCAAGGGTCTTGCAGATCAATGGATCCCAAAAAGGGGAAACTGAAAGGAAAAGTCATGACACATGTGATAATGCCCTGGATATTCCCAGAAAGAAGTAAGAAAGAATCAAAGATACTGATGTCTTGAAGCCCCCACATGTGTATTGATCCTCAGGTGACCTTATCTGTGTACCTGCAGCCTGTCAGAGTCTGGAGATAAATATAGATGCATACATGTATGTCTTTGTCAGGTGTGTGGCCTTGGCACTTATTTAATATCTCAGTGCCTTTGTTTCCTTATATGTAAAGCAGGATGATATTCGTAGGGCAAGGCAGATACTCAAAGGACACGTGCTAAATGAAGGCATGTACATTGGCCTTCATGTTGGGCAAAGGGTATGAACTTCCAGTTGGAAAATGAAAAGGTTCTGAGGTTCTCATCTGCAGCATGGTGACTACAGTTAGCGATACTCTACTGTTGTTGAGAGTAGCTCTTCAATGTTCTGGCACCATAAAAGGTAAAGTAGGTTAGGTGATGCATGCATTAACCAACCTTATTGCGGTGATCACTTTGTAATATACATGTATCAAATCATGCCGTACACCTGAAACTTACACAATGTTTTATGTCAATTACATCTCAATCAAGCTGGGACAAAGGACAAACATGTTACAACTTAAAAATACTGGCCTTGCAGGGCAATCTAAGATCTAAGGAGATGGTATGTAGAAAAGATCATTGGAATCATAACACTCCAGATGGACCAAAAGAGTTGTTCTTCTCACACCCAACCTGTCAGTGAGCTTCCAGGCTGGCTCACCTTCTGCTTCCCGGGGACTCCAGTGTCCGGATGGGCCACAGGGCATCGGGGAGGAGGCGTTGAAGGCATACTGCACCAGGATCCTCCCTTCCAGGCAAAGGTCACATGCTGATCCCAATTCTCTAGGAGGCCAAGGAGAGAAGGAAAACGCACTGACTTAGGAACAGTTGAATAAGCCCCTGACTCCCCTAGGTCAAAGGCAATGGAGGACACAACTATTCTACGTTACCCCCTTTCCTGACTATGTATGCCAAAGCTTCCAGAATATGACTGTGACTGAAATTCCTCCCTATTGCCCCACAAGGACCTTGTAGGGGCCTAAGTGGTTTCCATTCTGATGATAGATACACTTCTTTAACTTCAAGCAGCACAGATTCAACAGGCCAAAGACACACTCATGATCTGCAGAGTCGTAATTCCATCAGCCATCCAAACCTCTACTGAGAACCTAATGTGTAGTTGTGAGAAAATTGGTTGCCCCATTTGACTTCAAATTTTATCCTCTTACCAATATTTATCAGGTACCTACCATGTGCCAGGCACCATCCTGCGTCCCAGATATTAAATAGGAAGAAGGCATGGTTTAGCTCCTCTGTCTGAAGAATGAGTGGGCTGAACTAGAAGATAACCAGAGAACCTTCCAGCCCTGACACTCTGGGAATGGATGAGTCACCCCTTGGTTAAACACTCACAAGCAGTTTCCTTGCCATGCCATCTCATTCCTTTTAGCAGCTTTCCAAGGGGCAAGCCAATCCCTCAGAAGGACCAGCCCCAGAAGTGGAATATGATGATGGCTTCCCCTACTGTCTACTGTCTTGTATCTGGATCCAAATTCCCTTTAGCCACAACAGCCTCTGGGATCCTACTTGTTCTCCAGACTTGGCAAATGTTTCAGAGGCAGTTGCCAGGAGGGGAGAGAGATGAGCCCTCATGTACTAGGGTGGACCCAAAACTCCACAAATCTGAGCGACCACTGCAAAGGAACTGGAAAGGGAAGAAAGATGCCAAGAAATGTGCCAGCCCGACCCATTATTTCTCAAAATGTAATGATCCTGCCAATAGCTCTTTCGTCATTCCTAGAAGGTCCATCCTTTGGCTTCCTGCAAGAACACAATGGGGGAGCCTTAGGGTTTCCCTTCACAGGGAAGCTCTGTAGCTTCTGAGCTCATATGGTATGGAAGAGCGTGCTGTGGATGCCAGTTTGCTGGTGCTCCCCATTCCTCCTCCCTACAGATGCCAGGGGGCTCACCCCCAAACCTAAATCTGAGCAAGCCATGCCCCTGCTTATCTGTGTATATAGTGGTCAACAAGTGTAGTTGGGTGGATGGATGGATAGATGGGTGGATGGGTAAATACTAGTCATTCAGACATGTTGCTAAGATTCCTGACTAACGTAGCCTAGTTCTTCAAATTTCAGAATTTACATCCTCAGCTTCATCATTGAAAATATAAAACCATACATACAGGTTTTATACATACATATGTATGGTTTTAAAAACCATACATATAGATTATATTTTTATACAGTCATATAGGAAGTTTAAAAGCACACTAAATATTCAGAGATAGGAAAATGATTAAATAACCTAAGGTTAATTTGCTCAATGAAATGGTAAGTAGTTATTCCAAAAATATTTATAAAGATGATGAAATTTCATGGAAAATGTAAACTATAATGTTAAGTGAAAAAGGCATATTCCAAGCTGAATCTACAGCCAACTGAAGTCATATTCAAAACTGAATTTATAGCCAGCATTTCAATGTTCAAATAACCTTAACATGGCAAGATATTACTGGAAGTAATTTCCAGGTGGTGGAATACAGGATGATCCCCTATTTTTATTCCTTCTGTTTTTCTGAATTTTCTATATATTCTGAATGTGGACTAGCAATAATAACAATTATACAAATAAACTTATAGGAAATGAATGAGGACTGAAGAGAGAGAGACTTGCTCAGCACCACTATGGAGTGGGCAGAGTTCCGTTACAGTGACCACAGTCCATGCAGAGCAGCTCTGCGTCACATGAATGCCTCTGATGACAATGAGATTACAAATGTCCCGGGATGGAATCAGGTACCACAATCAGGTACCACACTGACCTAAATGGACAATGAGTCTTTCTTTCTGTTTCTTCACTTTTTTTCTGGATTATATTTATATAGTCACCTACATTTCATTGAGTTTTTGGCACATCCTAGGTTTCCAATAAATACTTCGATGATGAATAAACCATCATATACCCGACAGCAATGTGCCTTGTTTTCACAGAGCTCCACGAAGTATATTCCTTCATATTCAACCATCGATTCACCTGTTCATTCATTGTTTAACGTAGACATTCAATGGATGTCATTGAACAGCATCTGATGGCTAGTGCTGTACAAGTCCTAGACACTGGCCACCGAAGGATCAGGATATTAGATGTAATGTTCCCATTTTACAGATTAGGAAACTAAGGTTCATGAGTACAAAGTAATCATCCTAAGGCCATAGCTTGGAAAGCCATAGAGTTTTTGTGGCCTTTACCAAAATCAGGCAGTGTCCTATTCATCCAGGGAGTGTATATGCATGTTTCTTACCTTTGGCATTTATTTGATTTTCATATATCTGTGTCTACACACACACACACACACACACACACACACACTAAAATCATAGAAATATAGGACACTAATGCTGAAAGAGATCCCCTTTCATATCTGGGTACCTTGAGAGTCAGTGCTTAAGCTCCAAGTCTATGCTGTCCAATATGGCAGCCACCAGCTACATGTGGCTATTTACATTTAAACCAATTAAAATTTAACAAATTTAGAAACCCAGTTCCTCTATCCCACCTGCCATCACATTTCAAGTGCTCCATGGTCATAGTTGGCTAATGGCTACCATATCGACAGGGCAGGTTATAGAGTATTTCCATTACTGTATAAAGTCCTATTTGGACAGTGATTCACTCAGGCATCCACTGTACATAATGGAGTAACTTCTCTCTTGTGCATCTAGAATGCAACATCCTTGGGAGATTTGAGAAAATAGTCAAAATAGTCACTCAAGTGATTGTCTGTGTTCTGGGATTTGGGAGAAGAATGCTGGTGAGAAAGGCTAGTACCCTTCGGCTCAGGCTGAGGAAGAGGGCATGGATAAGATCCCAAAGCCTTCAGACCCCGATCTCCTGGTTCCCAGTTCAGTGCTTTTCCTAATACGCCACAGCCAATTGTTCAGATAACTGAAACCAGCCAGTCAACACATGTTTGCAAGACAGATAGAAATAAAGAAGTTAGGAAAGCTGGGGGGTGGCCTTGAATTATTTATTCAGTTGCCCATGTGTGAGGACATAGGCTGTGGGAGGATCTGAACATGTTGTTTTAAGGAAAGCACTTGTATTCTCTGAGACCACAGATGTGAGGAACAGCAGGAGGACATGAGGATGGCCAGGGGCGAGAGGTTGGCATTGATGGATGTAGTGGAAAACACCAGAGATGGTGCAGGGAAAGAACATTTCAAGTAGCTAAGCAGCTCTGAAAAACTTTGTACAATATGAGAGCTGCTATTTGTTGAACATAGAATGTGTGTGCTGGGCATATAACAGAGGTCATCTTGTTGAAATTCCCCCAAAATGCCAGGTGTAGAGGGCATGATTAGCACCTTTTTATGGAAAATCAGAGGGCCAGAGAGAATCTGAGAGGTGCAATCGCTTGCCCAAGGGCCCACAGACTGGAGTGGTGAGGCTGGGATGGAACACACACAACCTGACATCAAAGACTGTGTATTTCAAACTAAGCCAATTTTTGGAATATAAACTGTGTGTATGAGAAAGTGACATACATAGTTCCATTTCTTTACGACAATTTATTGAACTGTGGACTGACTTCCTTCAGCCATAGACTATGATCTACGTAGCTGTTAACCCTAATTAGACATGTTTCTAAAATGTCAGTTTTAATTTAACATATGATAACTCCGTTATGAAATCTTAGACTGAACAGAATAGCTATTGTATGAGCCTCAAGTACCAACTGACTATTGGTTATTAAAAACATATTGATTGAAGCGGAGGGCACTGTGAAATAGAGCCATATCTCATTACACAACAATTAACCCTCCAATAGGTTTCCAACAATCAGATGGTATTTATTTAATGGACAATAACTGCTTTATGAAATACAAATTGAATACATACACAGGAAGCTTCATTTACAAAACTTCCATTTTTAAGTGGAAGTGAGGCCAAGGCTGGACCAAAAGCCTGATACTTCTCATTGCCACAGAAAAAATAAATAAATCCATGGGCTGCTGGAAAGCCTGCTCTGAAGTGTCACATGAGGTTTCCCAAACCCAGCACTGAGCTCCCAGTGAGGGTGGCAGGGGGAGGGGGAGGGGTTTCTGCAGAGGATAGGGGGTGCCTTTCCTCCCCTGTGGTCACATCCCCCCGCTGCCGAATGAAGGGTCTAGATTCAGGGACTGATGGCAGGATGGAAAATTAGAGCCCCAATTTAATGTGGTGCCATGATCTAATATATTTTTTATATACATACACACACAATGCACACACACACAAACACACACGCACGCGCACACACACACCTACCTCCTTTATAATTTGGGCTTTGTAAGGATTTAATTAACACACATGGGAGTCTGAGACCAGGCACTGTCAAATGGGAGCTGGACTCCAACTCCTACCACCTTCTATGGGCTTCTGGTCAAATCTCCCAGCCTCTTTGAGCTCCAGTTCCCTTCTTGCCTGGCAGATAGGGAAGATGATCTCTCTTTTACAGAGTGGCTGGGAAGATAGAATGAGACACTGTATACAAAGAATTCAGTACAGAATCCGACACAGAATAAGCACTGGATAGGTCACCACAACCACAGAGTAATAGGAATTAATGATTAGCTGGTTATTGTTTCCCACATCATCCAGACTATCATCATAATTGGCTAAACATCCCCAAGAAGAGCTAGGGGGCGGGGGTGAGCTGTGATATACTAATCTGTCCTAAATTATAGCTAAGTTCCAAAACAGATGTCAACATGTGAACATCGTAGCCTGTTTTCATGACCCTCTAAAATCTGGGCCCCTGAAGCCAGAGGTTCTCAGTGGGTCTCAATGCTGAAAGGCACTTTGAGAGAGGGTCTCCACCTCAGGCACTGAGGCCTCATGAGACCCACTTTTCAGGGGAGCAGAATACGGCGCAGGGAGGGAGAGTGACTTGCCCAAGGCCACACAGCTAGAAAATGAAAGACAGGGGAGCAGCACGAGGTATTCTGTGCCTCAGCTTATCATTCCTCATCTCCCAACAATTCTACCTTTCATTCTACAAAGAAACACTGCTCACAGTCTAAGACTGCATACCAGGTGGAGATATATGCACATGTCTATCTCCATTATACATATGCATGTGTATTCACATATAATGTATGAATATACACATAAACTTATACACACCTTCACATATAACATGTCTACAAAGGTGTTTGCCAATTTCAAGTCTCTTGGAGATGAGACCAGCACCTCTATCCCAGAGGCGATTCTAATAAAGGTTTCAGGTTTTTAATGCTAAAATAAAGCTAAACATTCACTCCATTCATGTAAAATATGTTTTATTATTTATTAATTTATATTAGCCATCATTCATTTATTCCTTGACCCTCAAATGTATCTTGTGCCTCTATGGACCAGTCACTGTGTTCGGTGCGGGGGCACCCGCGGACCGAGGGCAAAGACAAAGAACACAGCCAAAGCTCCCTCCCAGTTTCGCTTCCCTTCCAAGTTTCCCTCTTCTTGGCAGGAGAGAGCAAGCGGAATCAACACTTCACGGGCCATGCTCACCTTTCAAAGAAGTGGCCATCGATGGGTGGAAACCACTCCAGCGTCACGGAGTCAGTCGTGTGGCCCACAATCTGGGGAGCCAGGGCGACCGGCGCCGGCTTCTTGGAGGGCTGCCAGCCCTGGTACACCAGGTCCAGGTAGCAGTGCATTCTGGCGACTTGATTGGGCGTGAAGGAGTCGGTGCAGTCGTCGTCTGCAAGGGGCAAAGGGGGAGATAAGAACTTGGCTGCACAGGCGGGCATGCAGAAGGATGATGTCTCCTGGAGGCCTGAGAGCCAGCACCCCAGCCCTTGCCAACTCAGAGCCGGCCTCTTCCAGCACTCAAGAGTTAATGGTCTGTGAACAAATTAGTGTAGTCATCACTTCTGGAGACAGGTGAGGGGGAACAGGAGGAACGGGAGGGTGGACAGGACTGAAAAAGCACATCTGAGACGGACAGGGAACAGCCCAGAGGTCATGGCTAAGGACAAGGGCAGGACAAGCTGCTTTCCCTGAGCCCCAAATGCACTGGTCTGTATGTAACACATTTCCTTACCTGCTCCCTCCCTCACCATTTATTCACTGTCTTCATTCATTAATTCATTTACTTGTTTGTTTACTCATTCATTTGTTCCTTTATGCACTCACTTGTGCCTTCACTCTTACCTTCACATGCATTGATCCACTCATTCATTCATTCTGCTATTCACTGATGGAGTGAGAGTCCTTCAAGCAAACCTTCTGAGCATCTATTACATATTCTCTGCTCTGTGCCAAGGGCCACAGAAAGGTGAAACGTGGAACACCCCTGTCCTGGAGGAGCTACCCATCTAGTGCTAAAGTGAAGGTCAGTTAGTTGTACGAGTCAAGGTTGTTATGAGGCTGCTAAACTCTGTGAAGCCATGTGACCACCAATGAACAGAAGGAGGCAGCATGTTGGGAAAGGAGAGTGAGCCAGGGAGGCTTCTGAAGGAGGAGGTACTTGAGGTCAATCAGACTGCATGGCTAAGGCTGGGGAAAAAATCGGAGGGACTGCAGGGGACAGAGCTGCAAGACCACAGAGTCACGGTGTGCATGCTGGGAACATGAGGACAATGACAGGTTCTGCACAGTACTGACATGGGGACACTTATCATGTATGATCCAGGCATAGTGCACTGAGCTCTCCCATTATTTTTTGGAATAAATACTACGATATTCTCCATTTTACAGAGAGGGGATTGAGACTGAGAGGAATCAAGCAACGATTTCAAGATCACAGAGCTTGAGACAAATCTGGGATTCGAACCCAGGCAATCTCGACTCCAAGGTCAGGCTTCTAATCAATATGAGAACTTCTTTCTGAGCATAAGTGAGACTTTGTGTGGGGAAAGCATCCTGCAGGTGCTTGATAAATGGGAGCTGAGCCTGAGGGGGCTGGAATACAATCCCTTAAATGTCTTTTGATGCAATGACCTTCAATCCCCTTCTCCCTTCTCTAAGATGTGGACTGCAGGCGGTGACCCGAGACTCAGCCCCCAAGGAAGAAGCTTGCCTCCCGTCTCTTCCTTCAACAGCTTTATTCAGCTGCCCCACGGGCAGGGCCAGGCACTGTTTTGGCTTGGTTTCCAAAAACACCACTTCCCAGAGGTGTCCGCCTGGTCAGGGTTTCCGCAGCTGGGCCCCAGACGGAGGAGCACAGGCTCACCAGATCTTAAAATAAACCCACCACTGGGAATCCTGCAGCATAAGCTCACTTCTCTTATCAAACAAACAGAAAATAAGTTTGGGCAGGTGCTGGGTAGTTGGACGTGACCTTGAGAATCCAGCTTGGGGAAAGGGCAGGGGTGCACGGAGGGTATACACAGAAGCTGCCTCTGATCTCCTTAGTAATTTGTGACAGTCTCCTTTCCAGCCCCTGGGGAAGTCTTTCACAACCTGAAGGAAGCAGAAGAGCCTGATGTCCCTTAGCAAGTTCTGTAAAAGCATGACTAGCGCAAATCTCTCTCACGTCCTGATTTCTCCTTGGAAACCAAACATTCTATGGCTCCCTACTGCCTGGAGAACAGAGTTCAAACATCTCAGTCTGAGAAGGGCCAGATCATTGGGTACAATTTTCTTTGTTACTAAGAGCTTTGCCGTTCATCCTGGAAGCCGTGGGAAAGCCACTGGATAAGCTAGAGGCAGGAGAAGGGCACGAGGGCTAAGGCAGTATGTCTGCATAGTTAGATTAATGCATGTGGGATCTGGAGTCAAATGGGCAAGTCATTCATGCCCTCAGTGCCTCAGTTCCCCATCTGTAAAGTGGGTGGTTAAGTGCTGATCTCAGAACATAGCTAAGAGTTAAGGGGAGTGGAGCACCAAGAAGCATGACAAATGCTTAGTACATGCTCACTGCCACATGATTGTGTGCCTGTGTGTGTGTGTGTGTGTGTGTGTGTGTGTGCATGCACATGCATACATGTGTTAGAAAACTTGGAGCAGGAAATAAACAGAATGTAAAATAGTCCTCCTCTTTGATGTAGCAATATCACATTTAGGAATTCAATAGGTATATATTCATGAACATATATGGGTAAATATATATAAAGGACTTTTTAAAGCATTATTTAGCATAGTAAAAATATTAGAAATAGCACATCTCTCTATTAATAAGGAAACAGCTGTGTAACTTATGCCTGAGCATAGAACAGAATACAAATCAATCATTTCCAAATAAAGGAAGTAACTTTAAATCTCGGATCCTGATGTATAAACGAGGGCTATTTAAATCAGTCCCACCCCATGGAGTTGTGCACATCCTTGAGCAGAAGCACACAAAGCATTAGTCAAGATGAATGGAGAAATGCAGTTTTTCTCTATACACTCTGATTTTTTTCTTGTAACCCAAAAGAAGAGTATTTACCTTTTATAACATAAAAATTAGTCATTTCCATGCCTGTCAGTAAAAAAGAGAATTTGAAAAATAGAACCTGGTAGGGAAACTGAAATGTCTCTGCAATTTAAAGTTGAAGTCAGAAAAGAAAGTCTGTCTTGGGTGCATAACTTAGAGATGGAGCTACTATCAGAATCCTGGGTGAGGTACCAAAGGGTTATGTTTATCACAAATGCTCTGTCTCAATTAGCTCATGTCTAGTTTCCCACCACCACGTGCCTCCCTGCCTGACATCTGTAGCCACTTTACCCTGGTCTCAGGACCAACCGGCACATCTTGTTCTTCTGTCCCCACCATGTCCCCTAGTGGAAAGGAATTTGGGGCTGGCATTCTGCTGGGAGCCTGCACCAGTCCCACGATGTTGATGGAGTGCCCTGAGTTTGCTAAGGAACTTGGTTTCCATCTGCGGCAGGAGCCACCGAGCACGGAGGTGCAGGGCCTGGGCACAGCTCCTCCACTTCCTGCGGAAAGGTGGGCAAATGCTGACCCTGCCAGCCTCATTTTCACCCACTGGATAATAGGGAATAATGAGGGCACCTTCCCCCTAAAGCTGAGGAAGGCATTTAGCAAGCTGACCCAGGTCTAGTGCATGGATAACTGAGTTGCCTTTTGTAAAAGTCCCTCCCTGTGTGTTGTTTTAACAATAATGATAATGACAGTAATAATAATAAAGGAATATGAAAGTTACAGATATTCACTGCAGAACATTTGTCATATGGTAAAAAAAAAGAGTTACAAAGAAATAAATGTCACCCTAAACTCATTACCTAGAGATAACAGAATTAATATTTAGTATACAGGTATATGTATGTGTGTATGGATATGAATATGTAAATTTCTCAGCACAAACATATACACACATGCACACACACACACCTTACTCTACACGTAAGACTCTGTGACTGTGTGACTGTTTTCACATTAAATAACTCATAAATGACCCACTAACTGTCATGGACTGAGCACTAGCTATTATACTAAGCCTGTCACCTGTATGACGACACCTATCACGCAAGGTGTGACTATTCTCCATGGTCTCCATGAATCAACCGAGGCTCGGAGAGGAGAAGTAACTTGCTTGGCTCAAAGGCTGGTGCATGGAGGATTCTAGTCCGGTCCCATGCCCTGAACTTCACCCTCTGAACCACTCCGCCCGCCACTCTCCTCCTGGCCACATAGTGCTGCATCCTGCAGATGCCTTGTGATTTATTTCAGCAATCCATTCCCTTCGGACTTGTAAGCTGTTTCTCATTTTTCACACATATAAGCATTTTTCTTCTACACCTGGCAGATAGTAAATGCCTAATTAATATTCGGAGAATGAACCTTGCTAAGAACATTCTTCTGATTAAATCTTTAAACACATCAACTGATTTATTTCCTCAGGATATATTCTTTAGATATGGGGCGGCTGGGCAAAGCATATGGCACATTAAGGGCCCTGACACGGAGGAAGATGGTGACAAGACAGTGGCTCCCATAGGTTGGAGAAGGCTGGTTACCACACTCCGGGAGGGGGGGGGCGCCTAGAGGGGGGCTGGCGCTTGGTGGGCCCCTAGGCCTGTTATCTTCAGGAAGGAGGGTCCAGGCTGCTGCCCTCCTATCTGCCCAGGGCAATATGACCTTACTCTCCTTTTGCTCAACTAGGTTCTCCCCGTCACCTGCCTGGTGCCAGCTTGATCTGAGCAACTGGGACCCTCTCAGCCTCACCTAGTATCAGAAACAGCCAGATAATTACTGATTGATAACCTTCCAGTGAGAAAAGCTTGTCTTGGTTTTGCTGTGTGACTCCAGGCCAGCTACCGACGCTCCCTAAACCACACTCTCTGCATCTGTAAATTGGGTGCAATAATAACAGCCCTGAGCTCATCGGGTTATTTGGAAAGTTCTGTGAGAGAAACCTATGAAGTGTTTCACACAGTGTCTGGCCTGTCATAGACACTCAATCATCAGTGAAGGCCTGTGCCGATCAATACGGTAGCCACCAGCCTGGCATGGTTATGTCAACTGAAATGAATCACAATTACTTAAGATTGAGAATTCAGTTCCTCGGTCTCACTAACGGCTAGCATCCTGGGCAGCACAGACACAGAACACGTCCTTCTCTGCAGAACGTTCTGCAGATGGCGCTGCCCTAGACTCCTCCCCCCGCTAGTGACCCAGCCTGAGGAAGAAGCACCGGGAAGGCAGGACTCCAAGAAGTTGACCCCAAGGGGCTCCACCCTCTCGCCTGGACTGCAAGGGCCCTCAGCACCGCTCTCCTGCTCTCCAGGCCCTGAGAACCCGATCCTGCTCTGTATTTTGAACTTCATCCAGCTGCTTTTGTCACCTCATCTATCAGAGATCCTAAGGAAAACAAACATTTCAAAGCTCGTGGTTGCCTTGAATATGCTTTTGCGGGTGTAAGTTTGTTATCGTAGCTCAGTGAATTAGTTCTGCTGTTAATGGGTCACTGAGCTGAGGGGTTCCTTTAGAAAAACAACAGTAAATCAATCACCCTTTAGATCTGTACAAAGGGGAACAAAAAGAGATTTAGTTTATGGGGGTCTGATAGCTAGTGGCAGCTCCTAGGCTCCTAAGAGGCCGGCAAACTTCCAAACTCATGTTATTGTTTATTTTCCATGTGCGTTGTGCTGGCCGAGGAAAGGTGCCGCAGAAATGGACCGTAAGCAGGGCTGTGTGAGGGGACAGGGCACTGGATGTGGGATGTCCGCTGGGCTGGGAGTGGAACCCAGCGGGAATCTGCTTTTGAGGAAATACCCAGCACTCTGGTCTTTTCAGAGAACGAAACCTAAAGACTCTTTATGGTGCCCAGGTGGGGACTATCTCTTAGATCAGTGGTTCTCAACCTTCTGGCCCTTTAAATACAGTTCCTCATGCTGTGACCCAACCATAAAGTTATTTTTGTTGCTACGTCATAACTGTAATGTTGCTACTGTTATGAATCATAACGTAAATATCTGATATGCAGGATGGTCTTAGGCGACCCCTGTGAAAGGGTCGTTCGACCGCCAAAGGGGTCGCGACCCACAGGTTGAGAACCGCTGTCTTAGAGAGACCTCAGGTTTGGACTGTATGAACCTGAGACCCCCAGAGGTCATCAGCCCAAATGGGAAAATAGGAAGACCCCTGGGGATCATCTAACTCGTTGCGTGTTAATAGAAAAGTCATCTTTCTACATGCAATCCAAAGCATAACGCCAACAGAAATGAAACACACTTGGAGGTCCTCCCTGGTTCAAGTGGAAATAGAGGCCTAGAGCCCCACCCAGGGCAGTCCCTGACGCCTCTCTGTGGAGCAGGGTGGAAAACCACCCAGGTTTCTCAGTTCCCCTCTCTCCCATCATCTGGGTCTCTGGTGAGAGTGGCACCATTGTAGAAGGGAAGAAGTGCTTGCAGTCAGATGTATGACCTGGGGCACATAACTTCAGTGCATCCCAGAACTGTCATCTGTAAAATGTGAATAGTTCCTACCCCTTAGATTTTTGGTGAGAATGAAATAAGATGGCATCTACTCTAAAGTCCTTTATGGATAATAACCTTTTCTATAAGTAGAAATACTGTTATTGATAAGCATCAATTTTATAGGCCTATTATAAGAGGATTTATTCACTTCCTTGTGTCCATGGCTCCCTCCCTCCCTTTCTTCCTAACAAGCATTTATTAAGCACGCAGGCCCTGTTCTGGGTGCTAGGAATACAGTGATGGATTAGAGACAATCTGCGCCTTCACAGAATTCCCTTGTTCTAGTGGGGAAAGAGGCCCTAAGTTGAATATTATAATAGAATTTGTGTAATTTTGTAGTTCTTGCCTTACATAAGGCTGTTGCTTAAAGGGGCCAGCAGTGAGGGCTGTTATACTCTGAGGAAGGGGTGCCTTGTTCTAATTTGCTAAAGATGTTACAAGGGGCTAGAGGTGGTCTTCACAGATGCTAAAAGGAAGTGCGGGCATCCTAGAACCCAAGGAATGAATCTGTAATACTGTTACTAAAGGGTTTTGATAGGACATGTGTGCTTAGAAAAAGGACATATCGATCTTATGTAAACATTATGTACTTACAAAACTAAAAGCATTCCTTTTTTTGGTAATAAAATAGTAAAGGAGGGTGTGAGAGTTTTATGGTGTTTTTTTTTAAAGGTTCAAAAACCACGAGCTGAGAAAAATATAGCTGAAAAACAAAGAGGGACCTTAGAGACAGAGTCTAAAGAACCCATTTTCTGGAGAAAAGAGAGGAGATGGGATGGGCTGAAAGGCACCAGGTGAGTGAGTGGCAGAGCCAGGCCTCTACTCAGGTGTCCTGAGTACCAGCCCGCGGGCTTTCCAATGTGCGTCTTCCTGAGGGGCTTTCAGACGCAGCATCACCCATGGACACTTGAGGTTCTCAAGGTCATAGAGTTAGTGAAGGCAGACTGAGCACTGAAACCAAGGGGTCTGACCTTGAGGGTTTCATTTAAGCAGAAGCACATAGAATACTTATAAACCCGGGAGTGAATTACTTTCTAAGGAAGAAGTTGCAGTAGAAATGTTCACCGGAAGGAGTATTATCCGGATGGCCTGGGATGAGGAACTGTCGGGAAGATGTGTTAGCAGCGGTAAGCAGCTTGCTCAAAGATACGCTGAGTCAGGACTGGAGCCCCTATCTGCTGCCCAGCCCCAGGCATCCCGCCGAGATGGGGCCCTACCTGCATAGCTCATGAAGTTGTTGTAAGGAGTGTCGAAGAAGCTGTGAAAGCCACAGGTGTCGTTTCCTGGCCCTGGGTCACCACAGAACTTGTATTTGGGGGCTGGGTTGGTGTCACTGCAGAGGTCTCCGGTCTCAAAGGAGGGCTCGGTCTCCATGCAGGGGTCACTGCAAGACTGTATTTCTGAGATGCCTCGAAAGATGTGATAGAGGCCCAGGCTGTGCCCGATCTCGTGGATCATGGTGTGGGTGTGCCCAGGAATGCCATAGACAGATGGGTTCAGGACGATGCCACCTGCAAGGGGAAAACCAGAGCATGAGGCAAGCTGGACACTTTGCTTCCTGATTTAGGAATCCCCCAACTAATGGGGTGCTGCCAAAAGTACCCACAGGCTTTTCCACCCTATGCCTCCTACTGCCCTGGGCGCTGTTGTGACTTGTAATATGAATCACTGATTCAGTAGGAAGGAGTCTCAAAAGTCATTTTTGCAATCCCTTCATTTTCCAGATGGAAACACCAATGCCTACAGAAGTGAGGCAACTTACCCACAGTGATCTCCAACTACTTAAAAGAGACTGCATGATTCAAATTCAAGGCCTCTGATTTCTGGGCTGGTAAATATTTCTGCTGTAACTTCTTCCTTAGGAAGTAAGTCACACCCAGGTTGATAAGTATTCTACGTGCTTCTGCTTAAATGAAGCCCTCAAGGTGAGACCCCTTGGTTTCAGGGCTCATTCTTCCTGCATTAACTCTGTGACCTTGAGCAAGTCAATGACCATCTCTGAGTCCCATTCCTTTTTCTCTCTCATCTCTGTGAGTGAACGTTCGTGAAGGTGAGCACTGTGTTGCACTTGTCATTATAACAGTGACTATAAAGCCAATATTTCTTGAGCATTATGATGTCTCCTTAGGCCAGCTGCTGTTTCTTGTGTCTAATCATAGTCATTCCCAGCCAGATGAGACAGGCACTGATTCCCAGAGAAGTGAAGTGACTGACCCATGGTCAGGAGCTAGTCAGTGTGGAGCTGACATCTGAACCATGATCCCTGGACTCCAAAGTGAGGGCTCTTTATCTGAGTTCTACAGTGGATGCCTACCTCAGGAACCAAAATATGGCATCTCCTTAAATGTGTGTTAATATTTGCTGAATGCTGACCCCGCAAAAGAAGTTTTGCCAAGTCTAATCACATGTAAGCAGCTAGTATAGCATCTGACATAACAATGAGTGCCTTACTCACTGTCTAACTCAGTGATGGCAAACCTATGACACGCATGTCAGAGGTGACACGTGAACTCATTTTTTTGGTTTTTTTTTGTTAAATGGCATTTAAATATATAAAACAAATATCAAAAATATAAATCTTTGTTTTACTATGGTTGCAAGTATCAAAAAATTTCTGTATGTGACACGGCACCAGAGTTAAGTTAGGGTTTTTCAAAATGCTGACATGCCGAGCTCAAAAGGTTCGCCACCACTGGTCTAACTACTTGTTACTCAAAGTGTGGCTCACCTAGAAGGTGATTAAAAATGCACAATCTTAGGCCCCTCCAAAACCTACAGCTTCAGAATCTGAATTTGAACAAGAGCCCCCGGTGACTGGCCTGCATAGTCTATTTCAGTGATGGCGACCCTATGACATGCGTGTCAGAGGTGACACGTGAACTCATTTTTTTGGTTGATTTTTCTTTGTTAAATGGCATTTAAATATATAAAATAAATATCAAAAATATGTCTTTGTTTTACTATGGTTGCAAATATAAAAAAATTTCTATATGTGACACGGCACCAGAGTTAAGTTAGGGTTTTTCAAAATGCTGACACGCCGAGCTCAAAAGGTTCGCCATCACTGGTCTAGTTTGAGAAACAATAGTCCACACCGTGTGTCTTAGAAGACAGCATTGCTTTGCTTGGCGAGACAAATGAAAGGTCTCATAGAATCAATGGGCAGCATCCTTCTATGTTCATTTCAGGCACTGGAGAAACCCATGCAGGCTTGCAGAAAGATATGTAAACTTTATCTGAGTGTGTCTAAGGGAAGGTTAAAATTCAGGTCTGAGCTTCCTCTAAGTAGTAACTTTAAGTGCAGAGCAGCATCTTACGCAAGAACGGTGAGAGGGCAGAGCCTTGATCTGTCCTGGCAGGCCTGGTGCTGGCGAGCAGATTTATCTCAGAGTGAACTGCCGGGAGGGCGAGCTCGCTCAGTCATGGGGCTGGTGGGGTCTATTAATTCTGAACTGCTCAGGGCCTTCTTCAAACCCCAAGATAAAGATGTATGAGAGGGCTGTGGGGATGGGGGTGTGTGCATGTGTGTATGTGAGAAGGGGCAGGCAAAGGCAGGGAGGAAGAGAAACTGAGACAGGAAATCTCTCTCAATTATTTTATGTCTATTTTATGTTGATCATAATACAAAACATAATCCCCTTCCCACCCAAGACTTTTTCCAGGGATCATGGTGTAACTAGCAGGAGTGTGTGTGTGTGTGTGTGTGTGTGTGTGTGTGTATAATTTCTAATAAATGGGGTTTGATTGGGGCTACTTCAGAGAACTTGCTTATGATCAATCTCTCTCAAAACAGGGAGGTGGCAGCCTGAAGGACGCTGGAGTTAGCCTGACATGGGTTGCAATCCTCAATTTGCTTCATATTGGCTGTATGATCTTGGGAAAGTGACCTTGCCTCTCTGGGGAGTTCTAAAAGAAACAGGCACAATAGTGTCAATGACTCCGTCTCTCCAGGAACTTCGACACTGAGGTAATGGGAAGAGGACCCCACAGGTATTTTTCAAGGATAAGGACAGGATTGCAGAGTTACTGTCCAGGTGGGCTCTGCTTGTTCTACCTCATTCCCGCCAGCGCACCCCTTTGCACAGAGCGATAGCACAGGGCCCGAGTCCTGTTTCATTGCTTCTCTTAAAAGGTGAAATAGCTGGAGCTTGACATCATCCTGAAATACTATAACATGCTATGGATTTATAGCCTTCTGTACTCCTGGTTCTGAGCCAGTCTCTGAAATTCGTGGAATATCAGGAGTACTTTTCTCTAACTTTAGAAGTCTGCTGTTCAACCCTTTTAAGACTGCTCATGGGCTTTTTCGTTGCTTTTCCAATAGCACAAAATTTCAGCACTGAGAAGGGTCCTTGGAGGCCACCATCTAGCCTAACCTGTTCATTTAAAATCTGAAGAAACTGAGATCTGGGAAAAGCAAGAGACCTGCCTAAGGCCATACTACTGAATCTGTTCCCTGCTGAGAACAACTATGGATTTTGGCTCTGGACCAGCACGATTCCCAGACATCATACGAAGCATGTGGTATAAGCTGATCATGCCCAAGTTTGCTGAAGTTCCAATCTCTCTTCCGCCCAATACCTCTCTGTCTGTCTGTGAATCCACCTGTCTGTCTACCCATCACCAACCTCAGGGTTTCTCAACACTATTGCATTTGGGACTAGATAATTCCTTTCTGTGGCTTTTGCAGATTTAGCAGCATCACTGGCCTCTACCCACTAGATGCCAGTAGCATCCCCCCATTTTAACAACCAAAAGTATCTCTAGACATTGCCAAGTGTCTCCTAGGAGATAAAATCCACCCCTCCCCAGTTGAGAATCACTAATATTTATTTTTTATATATTTCTATTTACATCATCATACACATGTACACACACACACGCGCGCGCACACACAGTGGTTTCATTCTCTTAAAAACAACTGGAAAATGAGAGCTGTCTAGAGAAAACTAAGTCTAGAGTTTAATTCAGCACAACGTCATTATTTGAAGTTACAGAGTCCTTCATCTCCAAGATAGCGTAGATGCAGCTACTGGACTGTGGGTCTATCCCTGGGAGACCAGGCAGCCTGAGGAAACATCCAGCAGTCACTCTGCTGAGACTGGGCATTTTCTGATGAAGACACTCACTGAGTCATCACTACTCACTGGTGGAAATAATGGGAACATTCCACCAAAGGGAAACGGTTAAAGACACTGCAGTGCCCTCATTCAATGGAGTGTCATGTGGCCATTACAAATGGCGTCTTTAGAGAGATGGAAATAACCCAGAAAGATGTGTGTGATGTTAAATGAGAAAAAGTGGGGTGGGAAGTAATTATGAAGATTGCTGCAACATGGAAAAATGTAGATAGCATAACATTCTGTGAAAAAAAAAGAACACAAAATTGCATTTATGCTATGATTTCAAATATGCACAAGTTAGAAATGCACGTCTGTGTATATCTGTGAACTGGAAGAGAGCATGGGAAAAAATTTTAAAAAATCGAATAACTCCAATGTTTGCTCACAGTGCGTGGTTCAGAAACCATTGTCATTTCTGACTTTGGTATTGATATGTATAAACATATATCTTGTTTATGGACATGCATAATTTGAATGTAAGAAGAGTTCCTGGTGTTGGTGGGTGGAACATGAAGGAACAAGGAGTTCTTACAAATTCGCTTTCTCTTGCCTCTCTGGTGGCTTTCAAGCCAACCCATGTTTGGCTGTGCCAGCACAATGTGGTTACAAGGCTGAGGAGATATTTGCATGAACGAAGAGGCAGAGAGGCAGGGGACACGGAAAGCAACCGATGAACGGAGTTAATAAATCTGAATTCAAAACATGGCTCTGCCACTGACGTGTGTGACCTTGGATAAGCCCCACTCCCTCTCTAAATCTGTTTCCTCACTGGTAAACAGGGTGAATACTGTTGTATTATTTTCTTCAGAGCATTTCTTAGCGGTTGACAAGAGATAAGGAATGCTCAAGAGTTTTATAAATTTAAAAAGTGAAAAGTAAATTGTTCACCCTCCCCATACCACCACCACCATCAGGATTGCCATCACCACTAGTAAATGTATTCCTGTGCTAATCCAACTCCCTCCTGGAGACGTTTCTAATTCTCACCTAAGGGCATTAGGGCCTCCTTGTCCCATGGCCAAGTGGCTACTCCTGCCAATTCCTCCTCCGAGGAGTTTGCAAAGAAGATATTGAGGTGTGTAGTTCCATCCAGTCTAAGAATGTTCTTCAGTTCATTAACATCCAAGTACGCTCTGTAATAGAAAAAGAACCTTGGCTGTCATCACCATTCAAAAACGTGACTCTTCGCATAACAGGTACTGCTCATTCAGTAAGAGCAACTATGTGTCAGGCACTTTGCTAAGCACTTTATAGACATCACCTCATTGACTTCTTTCAATACATATTGTAAGGTAACTGATATGGCCCCATTTTATAGATAAGAAAATTATATCCCTAAGCGTGTAAGGCTTGATAAGGTTGCTCAGCTTACAAACAGCAGAGTTCAGTTCAGAACTGAGATTTATCTAAGGTCCACATCTGTGTCCTTAAGGACTCAGCTATACTGACTAGTGACAGGGCCACACAATGTGAGTACATACAGATCAAGAACACAGACCATGAAAGAGCGAACATATTTTCTAATCTTGGCTTCTTTCTCTTTCCTCATTCACTATGGACCTTGGACCATTCATTTGGTGTATATGGAGCTGTGCTAGGAAGCCTTCTTTGCATCTCTATACCAACCTTGCCAGGAGGCACTGTTACTTGGTTTTCAAGATAAGCAACATGTGGCCCAATGTTATTAAACAGGTTGTCCAAAGCTGCAGAACTGGGTTTCAGGGTCAATTCTGTCTAGCTTGGAAAACCATACTCCTTTGACTGGGGCATCATGCTGTCTCCTGTATCACATGATTCTGCATTCTGCAAGCCATCTATGTCTTTGTCTGTACAATAGACTACAGAAGGATAT